GAAAACGATTAATCGATTATTTAATTAGTCATCGATTATTTTAATAATGTCGTCAATTAATCGTGGCAGCCCTAATATCTATTAGGGTTCACGTTACACAGTCCTTCACAACAACACGGCTGTCAAAGCAAACAGGATTTCCACTGATAACCCGAGATTAGTCTGGAGCACCTGTCTGTTTTCCGTTGCAACAACAGCCACCAATCCAGCTCTTCATTGTGGCGCTATGACTCATTCACAGGTTCAGATTACTTCTGCTTGGGGATTCACTGACTGCAGTTTTCTGGCCTATCGCTGATCTTTAAAAATAACCTGCTGATTATGATTTCAGCTGATAAAGATTTTTTTAATAACTGTTAGGTGTTATAAAGTCACAATACACCTTCAATATTCCAAACTTATTTTGTTGAAAAACATTGAAAAATATCCTTGAAACAATACAAACTTGTTTTAACTGGACATAAGGTAGCGCTCACAGCAGAGCAAAAGGGGACAGTGGCTGATTTGCAGACCTTTGTGGAGGTAGATATGATCGGCTTCATGTAAGTATCAGCTGATCGCAGATCTCCTAAAATTAAATAAATTGGTCCCGATTTATTAGTGCACCCCTACCTCTACTACATTGTCACATTTTATAGCTATTAAGGAGATATCAGAGATGCACCAGTTAATCAGCTGATGACAGAACTGGTTGATTTTTAGCTCAACAAGTGCAACAAAACGCTTCKCCCAGCTGACAACCATCAGTATGAGTAACGTTAGCGCTACCACTTCCACTCTTAAACTTTAACTGATTGGTGCACTTTTATCTTTGAATATGTGCAAAATAAAACAATCTTCAGCTGCTCCAACTTCTACACCTATAGTCATCATGGGAGTCACGGGAGGGATGCAAACGGTCCAGGAGACAATCCCAGACTGCCAGTCCCTGCTCTGCAGTGAAACTCTTCAGCAACACCTGGAGGACCCCAAGGTGTTCCCAGGCTAGAAACGATATYTAATCCTTTCAGAGAGTTCTGGGTCTGCCCTGAGGTCTRCTACCATTTGGACYTGCCTAGAAAACCTCCCTAATGAGGGATTCTGGGGGCAATCTTCCCAGATGCCTGAACCACCTCAACTGGCTCCTCTTGACGTGGAGGAGCAGCGGCTCTACTGGGAGTCTCCTGAATAACTGAACTTTTCACCTTATCTCTAAGGGAGAGTCCGGCTATCCTGCAAAGAAAACACATTTTAACCTCCTGCATCCAGGATCTTACTACCTCAACAGCTTCAAAACCTAAAAAAATGTTTTTAATGATATCACATATGCACATACTTCTGTATGCAATAAATAAGAATTATCTAAACATGATCTGGGACATAATTTATGTTTATGTTATCTTGGAGTTAAGATGTTCTGCAGTACAGAAGAGCCAGATAAATTGGGTGTTGGTGACARGGTCAATGGAATCAAACAATCTAATATTCTGCTGATGGTAAAGAATGCATAATCCAATTTACCAGTTTTTCTAAAGAACCTTGACAATGAATGAYTAATCATCATACAGTATGTGTTCATTGTGCATATTTAGCAGGGAATGCATAAAATAATCTCACTGCTAATTGCAACAACACACCACCTTCCCAGCAAGCTGCGATCACCTTAATGGGAGCAAACGCAACATGATGTAGGATTCAAACACTGAGAGCAAGAGAAGGGGATGGAAGCTGAAAAAGAAAAACCTTCACAGACAGAGAGACCACCCACCACGCCAGTAATTGATTGCTGCGTCGAGTGTGTTTGACATCGCTGCTCTTCGAGGCAGGATCAGAGCATCGCGCACGCACGCACCCGTACACATTAACTGCACACCCAGAGGTAGCAGACAGCAGGAAAGCCATGACTAATCAATCGTCCTCGCAGCAGGAGTCGACAGGGTGACTGGAGAATTAAAGAGTTTCCTCTTGAGATTCCAGTTTCGAAAGCAGAACTATTACACATCCACATACGAAGAAACAACACAGCTGCAACACACGGGCTCCTTTACCCTTTGCCTTAACATGCCTCCTTCTACGTTTTTCATCACACAGCGACCACAAACACAAAGAAGCCATCATCCACATCACTAACTCGTATGTATGTAACAGCTGAAGCCAAACCAAATCACAACAATTAGTCATCTCACTCAACATTGAGAAGTTTCAACTTAATTAAACAACACTTTAGTTTCATGTTGCCTAAAGCAGTCTGTCGCAATGAAATCCTGAGGAATTACAGGAAATAACAAAGCTCATGACTCATTTCTTATACTCTCATGTGATCCAAACATGCTTTGGGATTTACTCACTGATCTCTGAGACTTTCACCGTCACAGGGGTGGATATCTTCTCTGCCGCCATGTGCCACCTTCCTCCTCCTGTGCTGCGCCCTCCTCTGTCGACGTAGGCTCGGATCCGACAGGTGTAAACCCCTCCGTCCTGGCCACTCACCCCCGTCACCCTCAGCTTGTACTCTGCCACTCCGGTCCTCCCCAGGGTCGCCTCCCCTCGGCTTCCTGGCGCGCCGCTCGAGGAAGCGTTGGAGATCACCACGCCGCTGCGGTCCATGGTGATGAGTTCGCGGCCGTCGGCGAGCCAGCTCACTTCCAGGGCGAGGGCAGTCAGGTTGTCCGGGAACACGGAGCAGAGCAGGGTCAGCGAGTCGCCGGGCAACAGGAGCAGGGAGGTGGAGGAGGGAGAGGAGGGGGATGAAGCTTTCACATTTAGGGATTGGCCTTGAGAGGACAGAGACAATATGAATCAAAACATTTATGTTTATATGGGAAATACACAGAGTCAATTAAAATAAAATTTAATGTTATATAATTATTTTATGACAAATTTAACAAACACTAAGTATTATACAAAATATTACTACTCAAAAATTGGTTAAAATCACATTTATCTAGTAGATTGTAGTTCATGTTAATAATAATAATAACCTTTTTATGCCAGGGTTAGTCGTGGAGTTCCTCAAGGTTCAGAGTTTGGCCCAATAAGCCTCTAGTAGGTAAAATTATTATATGACATTCAAATGTTTATGTTGATGACAGTTATATTTATCCATGAAACTTGACATTTCTAATCAACCAATCATCTAATCCAGAGATTAGGGAGCCCTAATCACTCATTCTTAAAACATGGTGGCTGTAGTATTACAGTTTGGGCCTGTTGTGCTGATGCATACAAATCATTATTGAAACAATTCTAAAGTATAAAGCAAATTCCATTTAAGAATGTATTAAAAACTTTCAACGTCAACAGAATTTATGTTAGGGCATTTTAATATGCAAGAATTGTGGAATAATACACATGATTTTACCCATCTTGTCACATAACTGCCATCCTTTTTAACTTGGCATGGACAAAGTCAAACAGGAAGTGACAACAAAGAGGAAGAACTCTTAAAAATGGGAACTACCTGCTCTTTATTTTTTTATGAGCACTGACTCTTCATGATTTCTCTCTGATAACGAATTCAAAATAATCTCAAGAAACAGATTCTTCATTACGGTCTGTAACAGCTGTTTACATGCAGGTGTTCCTCTTTGTCATCACTTACTGTATCATGCATGTGACTATATCAACAACTGTTCATTTCAGGGGCGCAATTTTGATTTGCAACGTTACAGTTCCCTTTCCACTAATAAATTTGTATTTATCACAAAATTTCTGGTTTATTTTGTATCAGCATTATGTTAGCTGACTGGCTAAAATAAAGGTGACTCATAGCAACTATTGCTTCAGCTAGCATTATGCAATAGAGCGGTTAAAATTCTTCATGGCTGTCTTTAGTCAAAAAACTGTGCTTGTTGACATTCTGTAGATGAGAATTAGATACGTAAACTTCTCCTCTGAACCAGGTAAGAACATAAGCTAATATAGCAAACTGGAAACTGACAACATGACAGGTTAGGTTGCTGTTTTTCCAAGAGCATATGATGCTCAAGAAGAGTTTTACCATCTTTTCCAATAAAACAAAAGATGACAAATGAACGTTGATGATGTTTAAACTGCCTCTATTTACAGTGTGAAGGTAAAAAAAAAATCACATCATAATTATTTTTTTATCAATCTTTTTTTTTTTTTAACCGGGCAAGTCCCACTGAGATCACAGATCTCTTTTGCAAGGCAGGCGTGGGTTTGAAGGCAGCGGTGCATGTTTTTGGACTGTGGAAGGAAAAATCAAACACAAGAAGAACATGCAAACTCCACACAGAAAGACCCCAGGTKTGAACCGGGATCAMTCTTCTTGTTGTAAGGCAACAACCAGCTAACCACTAAGCTGATGATTAAAATGTCTTGCTTTTCTCACTAAAAGATAGTGTTAACTAATCAAGTTTTAGTTTTTGTGAAGGAAGAACAGAAAAACAACATTTTTTTCAAAATGTCGCTTTATGTTTTTAGCAGTTAGCTTGTCAGAGATTTGTTAGGTCACTAGCTAGCTAACAGGTGGTCAGTAACAGTCAATGAGGTATAATGGCTAGTCACTGTCACGTGACTTTTCATGTTCGGAAGCAGTGGCCATATTGTTAGGGGCAACTCAATATTGTAGTGTTAGCTGTTAAAGCTGGATGTAGTAACCACGATATGTTAAATTTAGGTCAGCACATCAATGAAACTCAATTTGCTATTGACTATAGGGTTGGGCAATATTGGCAAAAAATTAATCACGATTAATTGTGGTATTTAGCCGATAAAGATTAATTTGACGATTAACCCCCCCAGAATCCCTGGACACCCTTATATCCTAGTCACATGACCAATTTATAGGGAGAAAATTGGCTCTTCGTAAAAATCTGTTCCAAATTGTGTCAAAATTACAGACTTCAGGCTATACATCAAACTTTAAATTGTGTTGATAGATAAATAAATTACACAATTGTTTTAATGTTGGTCATATTTGAATCAGAGAGGAACACCAAGTGGTTAGTCTGCCAGGTGGCATTAATCATATTAATTGTCAACTGCCAAAAATTAATCGATTAATGTTTTTCTGACGATTAATTGCACACYATACGATTATGCACAACCCTAATTGYCAATCAATATTTTTAGACAGAAATGCACGTCAGTAATCATCAAAACAGGAAAAAGCATGTTCCAGAGGTACACACATCTGCAATGTTTATTTCTTTTATTTTAACCTTTATTTCAACAAGCAAAACATTAAGAACAGTTATTTACAATGTTGGCCTGAAAATGCAATGAAAAATGTTTCTAATAGGCAAACGCTAATCAGTGAAAAACTAATATTTATTTGCAATTCTACGCAGAAATCTAGTTATGATAAATTGTTTATATTGAGAGCCCGCCCCTTCCAATATGGRGATGTACTCATTCCACAGAGGTTAATCTTCTGAAGTGGGCATGACACCTCTAGCCAGTACACCTCATTGATAACAGCTACAGTTCTTTCAGGCTGTTTTAACCATTGCCATTAGGGTTGGGTAAAATTGTCAGAAAAACTTTAAGCGATTGTTTTTTGGCACTTGACGATTAATACGAACACCAGGCGTACTGACTGGAGATTTCTCCCGTCAGTCTGCTCGGTGCTCCTCCGCCCCTCAAAAATGACAAACATTAAAAAAAAGTTCTGTAATTTATTTATCATAACTCTGGTTTTACTTGGTCTATCAACACAGCCTGAAGTCTGTACTTTTGACACCATTTGGAACTGATCATGTGACTAGGATATGAAGACATCCAAGGACTCCAATTGATTAATCATATTAATTGTTATTGGCTAAATACCACAAATTATCATGATTGGTTTTTTGCCAATGTCTCCCAACCCTAATTGCCATGCTTCTTGTTGCCACTATTTTGACAATGAATGATAATTTGTTTTTATTCTTGGTTGATCTTGATATCAAGACAGACCAACATATATAACAAGAAACTGAAAAATACAGCCTATGTATTCTGTTAGCAGGGATGCTCAAGAAGACATTTTAAGACTGCAAACAAACCAGAACTACTAAAAATGTCAATCTTTGCCATGCAGCTATATAGTAACACTTGGACCAAGGGTTTAAATATGGTTTCCAGGAACAGAAMTAATATAGGAGAGTCTCTGTGTGGTATCTGGAAAGGACAAAAGAGACGAGACCATCTCTGTTTGACGTTTCTCATCCTCTTTACTCAAGTCAGTAAGTCAATATGAAGTAGCTGGGGCACAATGGGCATGAGACAGACCTGTGTGTGAGTCTGTGTCGCTCATGTTTGGTTTTGTTACAAATCACTGGGTGTCCCCCTGCACTTAAGAGGATATGGTAACCTAGACAGATAGAAGATATGGTGTCCACAGCAACAATGAATGAGGCAGAGTGGGTGAGTGGCGGGGGCTCTGTAGAGACAGACCGGGGTCACGAATATCCTGGGAGAGAGCGAGATGGAAGAGATGGCAAAGTCTGAGAGAAGAGGATCCCTCTAAGACAAAGACTGTCACACAAGGGGGGCGAGAACTCTCCCACGTCCCCTCGCTATTCTCACCCTTCGCTCCCTTTCAGCATCGCCACAGATCCAGCCCGCTGGCACAGAAAACTGTACCTACACATGAAAAAGACCTAAAGATGAACCTGTACTGATATGATCACACATCGCACATTCTGAAGGTTTATTTTTTTTATAATGGTCTTCTGAAGAATTAGAACCCAACCAGTTTTAATCTATTTTTAGACAACAGAACTAAAAAGATATTCAAATTGTGCTCAAGTGAAGGACACAAGGAGCTCAGGGAGTGCAACAAAGCAATGCTCAGACCTGCAGGAATTGATTTTTTTTCCAGCAGGCAATCAGGCTTATGAGCAACTGACGCCATGAGTCACCTCTATTCTGATGAAATGCCAGTCGACACAGATTGATTCAGCACGAAGCGGGTTATAAGAAAACTGTGCTTTTTGTTCACTTACACTCTAATATCACTTCATATATTTTACAGATAAATGACTGTAGGGTGCTTCAGGTTAAATGACCGTTTTCTCAAATTTATTGGTAAACACGATGTAAAAATGACAAAACCAAGGATTATTTTTATCCTTGTATACCAGGAAGTGACAATGGAGTCTTAGCCTAAATGTAACTAGCAAAAATATCTAACATCCAAGTAAAAAAACGCAAGTCTGTATTTTCCTCTACATATTCTTCCTCTTTGTCACAGGCTGGTGCTTAAATTACCCACAATGCAGCTTGACTGCCAACGTTAGAGAAATGAGTGACAGTGGTGTTCCCTCAGCTGGGTCGTCTCTCTTACCTGTAGGAGTGACAGTAACAGCCCCCATCTCTTTCTTGCTTTCAACGATTTTTGTCCACGTCCCTCCACGTTCATGCGTCCACTCCGTCCCTTTGCATTCGTAAATCCCTTGATCGGACGTGGTCAGTCGGGTAATCACCAGCTCAAACAATCCGTTCCTGCCAGGGACCAATCGGATGCCCCCATCCGAGTAACGACGAGTGAACTGTGAACCKGTGACGACGTCCCCCTGAGGACCAAACATCAGAATGTCCTCTGAGGTGGTGCCCTTTTTTATGGACCAGGTGACGGACAGGTAGGTGGGGTAGGTGAGCTCCCTGGTGACGTTGCAGGAGAGCGTGAGGTCACTTCCCTCTGGGATGACTGGAGGCGGAGTCTCGGGGGAGACCTTGAGGGTGTTCGGAATCACTGATGACAATAAGAAAGAAAATAAATACATAAATGTAAACAATTTAAATCTTACTTGTAGCAAACAAAGATCTCATTGCATCACTTATTACAGCTCCTTCACAATAAAAGCATCGCGTGTTGCAGCTCTCCAAGTTTTAGCACGTCTTGAGTTTCCTGTTTAAATAATTTATCAGCTCTCCATTTTTATGGCTTCTTTTCCCTTGTTTCACACAAAACCAACAGGCTAATCAGTAAATTATCTGAATATTTTCTTTGTTTCCATTATTTAGAAACGTGTCTATTTGAGGGTAAGCAAGGTAAAGAACCATGATCATATTTTAGATGAAGAACAAGCACAAAGGATTTATTTGAAATGACTAAACATTATTAATGAGTCAACATTTAGCGTTAGAGCCACAGTATTAACTGGGTGGAGCAACAAAATCCTGAAGAACTGTGATAAATTCCGACTTGTTTTACCTTTGAGGCATTAARATTTCATAATAAGAGCTTTGAAGTTACAATAGGGTCAGGGTCAGGATGAGTTGTTCTCTTCTGTTCTCTCACCAAGGCTGCTGATTAAAAACAGGAATAAAATAAACAGCTTCCAGATAAAGGCCATATATTGTTTTGTTTGCATGTGAGAGCAGGAAACACACCCAGGGGAGTGTTCAGGTAGCTTAATAAACTCACTGCAGACTCACTTCCACTCGTTTATCCTGTGCTTTTGTTCCGATTGTGTGTCTAAACGTGACGTTCAAGAGTCCGACCAGCTCTGAACAAACCGCTGTTTGGTAAAGCCGGTGACTCATTCTGACAGCTCCAGAATAATAAAATAAATAAAATGTGGGTGTTTATGATCAAATGTGCCCACAAAACCACAACTGAAATAACCGTTTGGTATTTTCACAACAGGGAAGTGAAGGAAAGGACAGATGTTTTGATGATCATCAAGTAAGCGCAGAGGACACGGGGGGTTAATAACACTAGAGGCAACCACAGAGTGCAGCGGAGAGAGGCTCCGGTTTACACACAATGTCACAAATACAGACATTCGGGCAGGGGTTTGCTCTCATATCACCAACATGATGCTGGTGTATGTGAGTGTGTCTGTTAGTAAAATATCTCATGAAACCCTYGATGAATCTTAAAGGAACTTGCAGAAAGTAACCACRGGATGGACCTCTACAAAGGTTTCACTTTCTGAGTCAAATCTGATTCAAGATGGCCGCCATAGTCAGCTGAACTTAAAAAGCACAAAAGCGGCCATAATTTGGTCCAATTCACAAGACGTTGAGCTAAATTTTGGTGTAGTAMTAGCTGAGAGTCAGTCTCAACAGTGCTACGCATTGTGTGAGACCTTAGCTTTAAACTTTAGCTTTGACTTCTGGAGTCAATCTTGTTTGACTGTTAGCAAAATATGTKACGAACCACTCGATGGAGTTTAACAATTCTTTTAGAAAATAACTACTGGATGGACCTCCACAACTGATTAAATTATGGAGTCMATCCAACTTAAGATGGTTGCCACAGCTAATCAAAACACAAAAATAGTCTATACTCATTGAGTCAAAACGAAAAAAATAGGTAAAATAAGGCTGGATGGGTTTTTCTTTAGTGAAACGTTTCGTCTCTTGTCCAAGAGACTTCTTTCATCGGTCTGATGAGTTTCAGGTGAACTCAGCCTTATAAGCKCTGCCTCCACATGGTGGACAAACAGGCTAGTCACATGCAAAAGAGGGCCATCGCCTAACAATAGGCTTYATTAGCTCTATTTAGTCACATGCAAAACTCATTGAGCTAAATTTTGGCACGGTAGCAGCTGAGGGTTACTCATCGTGTGAGATCTTAACCTGAAACTTTAGCATTAGCTGCTGGAGTCAATCTCCTCCTGTTTTCACAAACTTCCTCGTAAATCCAAAATGTACCAGCGCCTCCTAATCAGACTCTTTGTGTGTTGTGTGAAATAATGTGCACGAGCTGTTGTGTTCAAAAGTTACACATCCAAACATATTCTTAATCTTGTTAAGTTTACATAGTAAATACTTCACTTAGCTTTATTAAAGTTTTCATTCTGAAATTGGAGACAAGTCCTTATTAGAGTTTGTACTGCAGTGAAATTGGTATCGGATAACAAATAGGGTACAAATAATTGTGTTTTGCTGTCAATTAAGGAAGTGCCTGAAAAGAGTTTCCTCCACTTCGCTCGTCTCTTACGTAACAAATAAAAACAAGTCTGAGAAAAAAAAGTGGTGCACAATCCCGCCTGGTATAAATCTAATTTCACATATTTTAACCGAACGATGACATCTGTTAGAAGTTTCTTTGCCTGCATACACTGAAAATTGTTGTACTTGCTAATACGTATGCTCTGTGTGTCTCTCTCTCTCTCAAACACGGCTGCCGAGTTAATTCAGGTCTAAATTTAACAAGGTGTCTGGGGAGCCGTGCTGGAAGGAAACGGAGAGCAGCTGAACATGATGATGCATTATGGAGATAACTAACCTGCTGTCTGATTATGCTCTCCATCACTTCAGCTCGCAAAAATTTAGCTTTCTGAGCGAGAAGTCTTCCACCAGCCGACCCCTCCACCCCACACTACAGCGTGCCTTTATTTGGCTTCTGTCTCGCACTAAAATATCTGGTTTGTAAAGGATGAGGTTTGAAGGTTCACACAGTGAGTTTGTTTTTAATTACCAACAAGAAAAGTACAAAACAGAAATCCAATTAAAAAGGGAAAACGCTGAACCCGTGTTTTGTGGCACAAACTCTGTGTACAACTTCGTTAAAGGGGCAATATTATGTGTTTCTCAGGCATATATTTAAATACTATACCATAATAAAGTATCTGTCATCTTTAGCTGTTATTAAAATGCTGTTTTTATGTTTAAATAGAAAATAAACTTATCTTCTCATCCCTTCCTCTTCTAAACGCCTTGAAATTGGCCTCTGTCCCTTTTAGAACCATCTGAAAATACATTTCCTCAAAGATATTTTTAATCTGAAAAGAGCTTCACTGAGTGAGAACTAATGTTAGGAGCTCAGCAGACAGTTAGGTTTCACTTTCACCCGAGAGCCTGCAGGAGTCATGGGCGGGGTGTGTGGGGAGGGGGCGAGGGGGTGRGCTCTGCCATGAGGAAGTTTGTCTTAAAGACACGTCCCAGGGGCGTTTCTGGTCCCAAAAGGSGTTTCTGGTCCCCACCTGTCGTTTTGCTCCTCAGCATGTCTGCCTAAAAACWCTGCAGGATTTCTCAAACATGCATGAATGAGTCAAAGCAAGGCTTTGGGCATGTTTTTATGAGAGTATAACATTATAACATGATATAAAACTCAAAGTTGATTTTACATAATATTGCCCCTTTAAAGATCCAAGTAGCCAAATAAATAAATAAATAAATAAAATAAACAAAACATTCATATAATAACCTGTTTCTGCCTTTAATATAATAAAATAAAAGCTTTCTTTGAAAGAAGGCATATTGTGCTCCACCGTAAATGCCAAAGCTTTCAATAAAGATCATTTAATGCTTAGAGCAACAATTTTCAACTGGTGGGTTGTGGATCCACATCCAGCGGGCCTCTGCAACAAACTAAATCCCCTTCTCCATGGGCGTGGCTATAAGCTCTTCATCAATTCAGCCTCGACCAAGCATGCCTCAATTTCCAGTCCCTGCATGGCTTTTGGATCCACCTCGATGGTGGTTCCAGGTGGGTGGGTCAAACAGTATTGTGTGGAAATTATTTTAAGGTCAGCGGACGGCTGCCTGTGGATTAACTGAGCCAAGGTGGAACTTGCAAGCTCCTCCTGGAGAGAGACGCAAATGTTTTTATCTATTTTAGGAGACAAACGCATACAGCCTGAAATAAACAGGTGTACCTGGGAGGTTTCAAACAAATTGTTTCACACGTACTTATGAACAGTGCCGTAACAAATTTAATCCAACCACAGTAGTAAAGTTAGACACCGCTGATTTCCTTCTCGATTCTGATACAGAATAAAACTCTCTGCCATACTGATCTGATCCTTTGTGCAAAAACACCAATGTGTCTATTAAATCTAAAAAGAGTAGAGCGTTTAAACTCACTGCTTCTTAAAGATTACAAGACATCTGAGTTATTCATTTATTCATTTGGAACTCAGATGTGTGTTGATGTAGCCATTGGGGTGGGAATCTTTTATTCTCTCACAATTCGATTCTGATTTTTGGGACCATGATTCGATTCAAATTTGATTTTTCATTCAAAACTGATAATGTGAGCCCATTAGTCCTGTTCCCAAAGTGCTTCATCTTCATTTTGCAAAACTCTCTCATGTCAAACTCAGACTCATTCAGTAAAAAACAAAATGAGCCCAAATCTTTGCATTCAATGAAGACAGGYCCGYTTGAATCTCTTTCCTCCAGTTTTGTAGTTTTCCTCTTTGTTTTGGTTCTTTCTGCACAGTCATATGTTCCAGAAACAGCTGTGTGGTGATGTCAGGACYGCCCARGTAGTTACATAATGGAGMCTGACAGACATTGGATTTARTTTATTTTTATTATTTATAAAATTGATTTTGGGACATTTTAAAATAGATTCTGAATCTTTGTAAATAAGAATCACAATTCTGATGTAAAACGATTTTTTGGTGCACCCCTAGTAGCCGTCTAATACAACAGAAAACCAGAGGACACAATCATACAAAATACATGAAAAAATATGTGAAAAATTGTGTTTTAAACAACAGAAAACAGCAAAAAAAATAATAATAATAAAAATAAAAAACCCCACTATAAAATAAGTTATTGTTTAATTATTAAGAACTACTATAAAAAAATAAAACCTGCGTCTTCATTTACATATTCACATGAAAACACTGAACGTGTAGCATCTACAGACTGATCACGTGCTGCTGCACTTCTACTTTACACAGGCGGAAGGAAAAGTAGTTCCCACCAACCGCGTATGATTAGGCAAGATTTCAATAATTTAGTTACTTTCCACTGTGTTCCTGTTGATAATTGTTGCCTGAAATGACTGAAGTATCCGAGTGTCAATATTTTGATTTCAGAATGTCGGTGGTATCGATATTTCACCATCTATCAGCACATCACTAGCTCACAGAGTGAGGGACACACTGCCATGAAGACACATCTACACTTGACTAGAACCGATCTAAATTTGTACCAGGTATAAAACAAAAAAAGTYCTGCTGCATGAATATATGCTGCACCTTGAATGTTCCTTTATGATACATTCAACTTTGACCCAGACTGAATCTAAAACACTGAGGAACAGGGAAACATGATGTTCTGAAACCAGCATGTTATCAGATTCAGTGAGATGAGTGAGGTCTGTATCTGATGCAGGAGGACCAGGCGCTTATCATATCCACTCAGGTTTGATTTGCAAACCATAAAAAAACTGTTCCCATGCAGTTACTTCTTGTAAAACAGGTTATACGTTTGGCAGGTTGGTTTTCATTACTTCCTCTTGGCAGCTTTCATTTTCTTCACAGTGAACAAGAGTTCCTCCATCAAATCATCTGTGAGATTTCAAAACTAGACAAGTTCCTAAAATCTCCACAAACATATAAAATAACTTCCCCACATGGTGTTCATGCTTGTCAGTAAATGCCTGAGGTAATGCAGTCAATCTTAAAATAGTAAAGAAAAAAAAACTTCCAAATCTGTCCCATCACCTAAACACCAAACACTGACATGCTAACACAGCAAAGAAAAAAAAAACATTCAAATAATTAAGGAAGTTTGTGTTTGGTTGATTATTTCTTTGTTGCAACAATACTTCTTAGTAATTATAAGCCTGTTTATATCCCCATAAACTTTGGAACATTTGTTTGGAAAATTAATTTGTGGATTGCATCAATTTAAATAAATAAATAACTTACTAATTCTTTCTGGATACCATTTTTATACAGCATAAGGAGGAGGTGCCAGGTTGTTGTGTCTGTGTATGGTTCTTCCACATGCTACTGAGGCCCCAGTTTTAAATTCACAAACTCTCTTTTTATTGTTAGACTTGGATCATTCAACCTAAAAGCATAAAACAAGTGGTAACAGAARAAACTGTTTAGAGGTTTTTCCCATGACTACAACCCACAAAAATGCACCTTCATAACAAATGTGCCATCATTCAGGTAGAAATAAATAGGTTTTATATAAGCTGTGATAAATGTACATTTTCTTGTCTGCTTTAAATGCATTAACTTCTGTGTTCTGTTCTGCATGTACATTCAACATTCTAACCTTTTACTGAGGCAATACAGAACATCGAACACTTTAGTTTTAAACTGTTCCATCCGTGTCTGCTACTCACTTTGCCCATATGATGGTATTTATATTCCATCTAAATCTCCCTGATCCTAATTTGACACAAGTCAAGTACTCCCACCTGACATCTGCTCCCCATCAGAAATGTCTTTGAGGTGTGCTGAACACCGAGTGAAAGTCAGCCGATGAGCCAATCACTGTCTAAAAGCAGCAGCCTGAGAGCGTGAGCAGGAGGATATAAATACAAGGCCAGCATTACTAAATCATAAAAATAGCTGTTAAATGAACCAACAAGGCTGCCATTTTAACACCACAGTCGAACACAGCTTCACTCAGTCAGAAGACGTATAGATTAGTATGAACTCCTCCTCACCTGTGAGTTGAACCTGCGCCACGTAGTTCCCACTGATGACTGAATCTGTGCTCGGTGTTCTGCAAAAGTAGACCCCTGCGTCCTGAGGCTTCAGCTCTGCGATCTTCAGCTCCGCCTCGTTGTCCTGCAGCCGCACCACCGAGATGTCGCCGGACGCGATGCGCTTGCTGAGCGAAGGGTCCGAGAAGCTGGCGTCAAAGGACGAGACGATTCTAATCTTCGGGCRGGTTGCATCCCTGGACATCTCGAATTCAAAATCCTACAGGACAGAAAGATTGGATAGAGTTCACCTTATTCTGAGTTGTARGGTCCTAGAGAAATGACTTTCCTATTCCCTTCAGGTCAAATTACTACTATCATGTAGCCACCGAGAAAGTTTTAAAAATATGTTTGTGGCTCTAGGTGTGACTGGGAGTGTGGATGGCTGTCTCTGTCTGTGTCCCTGATATCCTGGTGTCCATGTGATGCACTGGAGACCTGCCCAGGTCTCCCCTGCCTTCTCCCAAAGGCTGAGATAGGTTCAATAGGAACATTATTTTATGTTAATCTTAATCAGTATTGTGTGAAATTTAATGTATTTTATAAATATATTTGATAGTTTTGTAGGTATGAACAGGTTTGTAATGTTTATTCAAAATAAACCTTACTTCTGTATCATGTTTTAAAGAAACTATGATCAGTAAAATCCTCAAATCGTGTCCTGTTTCTAATAATCATCGTCTCTGTAGCACTTCAGAAGAACTCCAACGCTTGTAGATAAAAATATAAATATTAATAAAACTTCCTCTCAGTCATTAAAAATAATCTTTTTCCCACATTTTAATGCCTGTTTCTAATCTGGGCCCTAAAGAGTTAATGCTCCTGGGTGTGGATCTGCTGCAGCTGCAAGGCAGGTGTGTGTAGGGACTGGTATTCCCTACATTGCAGGACAGTTTTTTGGCAAGCACACCTACTTGTGGGGACCTAATGTTACTTATGGGACCTGAGTCTAGTCCCCAAAAGGGGAAATGCTGTTGGTGGTTCAGGGCTGTGAGGTTAGCCTTGGAGTTGGTGGTCAGGGTTAGGCTGTAGAAAATAATGGAAGTCAATGCCAGGTCCCCATAAAGACAGCTGTACCAGACTGTAGGTGTGTGTGTGTGTACGGGTTTTTCTACACCATGGGGTATTTTTTTTTACAAGAAAAAGCAGCCAGGTGGGGACTGAAGTGAATCGTGGGGACCAATGTCAGGTCCCCACGGG